GGGGGGGGTAGCTTCAGCACCCCCCTCCCTTTGGAAAGGGGGGCAGGGGGGGTTAGCTTCCGGGGCGGCCAGGGGGGGGGGGAGGTGGGTAGCTTCCAAGCACCCCCCCCCCTTTGCACGAAAGGGGGGGGGGGAGGGGTAGCTTCCAGCAGGGCAGCGCCAAGGGGGGGGGGGGTAGCTTAAGCACCCCCCCGTCTTTGGAAAGGGGGGGGGGGGGGTAGCTTCCGGGGAGGGCCCAAGGGGGGAGGGGGGGGGTAGCTGTAAGCCCCCCCCCCCTTGCAAAAAAAGGGGGGAAGGGGGGGGGTGCTTCCAACAAGGGCGGCTCAAGGGAGGGGGGGGTAGCTTAAGCCTAGCCCCCCCTCCCCTTTGCTCGGGCCCTGCGGGCGCGCTCTCTCTCTCTCTCTCTCTCTCTCTCTCTCTCTCTATAAGATGAAATAAGCTAAGCTAAGATGAGATAAGCAACGCTAAGCTAAGGGGACGTAACTGGGGGAACCGCGGGGCGGATGCTGGGGGAACCGCCCGGGGCGCTTTCCACTGCCCCGCCCCTTTTAGCCCAGAGAGTAAGAACCCTTCTGGGCAGAGCCTAGGTAGGGAATCATCATCATCATCATCAGCATCATGATCCCAGTGCGACCCTACCTTGGAGTTGGAGCCTCTAGGAAAGCAACATTAGTAGGAGCGGTAAACGCCGTCTTCCTCCTTCTCCTCATCGTCGTAATTGTAGCAGTAGCGGTAGTAGTAGTAGTAGTAGTAGTAGTAGTAGTAGTAGTAGTAGTAGTAGTAGTAGTAGTAGTAGTAATAATAATAATAGTAGTCGTAGTAGTACTAGTAGTGGTAGTAGTATTGATAGTAGTGGTGGTAGTAGTAGTAGTAGTAGTAGTAGGAATAGGAGTAGGAGTAGGAGTAGGAGTAGGAGTCAAGCTAGCCAGCTCGAGCGAGTCAAGCATGGCATGCCCAGTCCCACCCGCCCTCCCACAACATAAGAAGCAAAGCTGGCACAACTGGGGGCCGAAGTCACACCGGCCAGCCGGTTTGGTACAGCTGATGCGGCCGCGATGGCGGTTGCCGACGGGAACTGGCGAGCGCGTGTTGAATGCCGCGCACGCATTGCCAGACGAGTCGAGAATGGCCCGGTACACCGCAGGAAGCCAGAGGTGGCCGGAGGAAGCCCGACGGTCTGACAGGACACCCCAAAGCATTTTTGTGAAAAAGCATTGGGTTTTTGATGTTTTTATGTTGAAATGCTTGCAAACACACGGTGTTCGGTAGGATTCTGACATGAACGCGCGAGTGTGCTCTTTGTGGTATTTTTTGCACAGGATTCGCGGCCTGGGTGCATGACAGAGCATCGCGAGTGCACCGCGCGATGACGTGAAATCGCTGGATTTGACCGAATTCTTAAGATTCCTATGGTTTTCCTATGATTTCAGCAAGAGAGCCCGGGCGGGAAATTTGTACAATTTTTGTGAAAAAGCATTGGGTTTTTGATGTTTTTATGTTGAAATGCTTGCAAACACACGGTGTTCGGTAGGATTCTGACATGAACGCGCGCGTGTGCTCTTTGTGGTATTTTTTGCAATGGATTATCGCCGTGGACGACAGGACGTCCATGTCGAGAGGAAAAAATAAGAAAAATGTTGATTTTGTATTGTTTTTAACAGGTTAGGATGGGACCCCCCGGATGCGGCCCCTAATGGCCGGCCTGAGGGGGGAGTAGGAGTATATTCTAATAAGGAATAAGGATAGGAGTAGTAGTAGTAGTAGTAGTAGTAGTAGTAGTAGTAGTAGTAGTAGTAGTAGTAGTAGTAGTAGTAGTAGTAGTAGTAGTAGTAGTAGTAGTAGTAGTAGTAGTAGTAGTAGTAGTAGTGGTAGTAGTAGTAGTAGTAGTAGTAGTAGTAGTAGTAGTAGTAGGAGGAGGAGGAGGAGGAGGAGGAGGAGGAAGAGGAGGAGGAGGAGTAACGCCAGAACCGCCGACGCCACGCCGTAAGTGAAGCAGCAGCAGAAGCAGGCACGAAGTCGCCGAGACAGCAGCAAAAGCAAGCAGGCACGGAGATGAGGGTGGGGCACAGGAGAGTTCTTTACATCTACATCTATACCCACACCTACATCTACATCGACACCTACATCTACATCTAGACCCACATCTACATCTACACCTACAGCTACATCTACATCTACATCTACACCTGCATCAACATCTTCATCTACATCAACAGCGAGGCTCACATCTACATCTACACCTACATCTACACCTACATCTACATCTACATCGACACCTACACATACACCTACACCTACACCTACACCTAGCAGCAGCAATAGTGGATGTTGTGTTTCTCTATGCTATGCTATGCTGTGATATGCTGCGCTATGCTATGCTATGCTGGGGTATGCTATGATATGCTGTGCTGCGCTATGTTATGCTACGTTATGCTATGCTATGGTGTGCTCTGCTATGCTAAAGCTCAGCGAAGCTAAGATGAAGGTAAGCTAAGCTAAGATAGACCTGAGCTAAGATGAAGCTAAGCTAAGCTAAGATGAAATAAGCTACGCTAAGATGAGATAAGCGACGCTAGGCTAAGGGGGCGTAACTGGGGGAACCGCGGGGCGGATACTGGGGGAACCGCCCTGGGCGCTTTCCACTGCCCGGCCCCTTTAAGCCCAGAGAGTAAGAACCTTTCTAGGCGGAGCCTAGGTAGGGAATCATCGTCATCCGCAACGTCACCATTATCAGACTCATCAACATCAGCAGCATCATCATCGTGATTACCATCATCATTCACAACATCATCAGCAGCATCATCATTAGCATTGTTCAGCATCAGCCGCATCCTCGTCATCACTATCATCAGCGCCATCGTCGTTGTCATCATCATGATCAACACCATCATCACCACCAGCACTTGCATCATTATCATTTTCCGAATCCTACTAATAATCATCACCGTTACCACCATCATAATCTTTGTCAGCAGCAGCATCAACACCAACCTCAGCATGATGATGGTCATCATCGCCAGCATCAGCATCATGATCACCATCGTCAGTATCAGCATCATCAGCATCATCATCATCATCACCATCATCATCATCATCATCATCATCATCATTATCATCATGATCATTTTCATCTTCCTTCCAAGAAGCCCCAAGCTGGTGCCCGAGGGAGGAGGGGCGGGACGAGAAAGGGGGAAAGAGTTTTGAGACGGCCAGAGGAGTGGAATGTAGGTCGGGCACGAATTTCTGGGGCTTCCCGGCCCCGCCCCCCATCCATTTATGAAATTGTAAAGGAGTCGAAAGGGAGGGGTTAAGGACAACGATCGGGGGCGATAGGCTCAGGGGAGGACGCACCGACTCCCCAAAACGCCAGTCCATCGCCGGAATGTCGGCGCTGTGTGGCCGATTCCAGGTCAATGCTTTCCCTCCACTGAGCCAGGCCTCCCTGTACTTTGCTCGGACCGAGATATAAGATCGAGGTCGGTTCGGGGAGGGTACCCCAATGTTCGTCGGATGTTCTTGTACATCCTGTTGGGGATTCCCTTGGATGTTCCGTGTGCTTTGGCCGGCGGAGGGCCTCATGTTCTTGAAGGATGTTTTTCCGCCGTCCTCTTCCGCCGTCGTCTTCCGTCGTCGTCGTCCGTCGTTGTCTTCCGTCGTCGTCTTCGTTCGTCGTCGTCGCTCCGTCGTCGTCGTCGCTCCGTCGTCGTTGTCGTCGTCGTCGTCGCCGCTCTGTCGTCGTCGTCGCCGCTCTGTCGTCGTCGTCGTCGTCGCTCTGTCGTCGTCGCTCTGTCGTCGTCGTCGTCGCTCTGTCGTCGTCGTCGTCGTCGTCGTCTTCGTTCGTCGTCGTCGCTCCGTCGTCGTCGTCGTCGTCGTCGCTCCGTCGTCGTCGTCGTCGTCGTCGCCGCTCTGTCGTCGTCGTCGTCGCTCTGTCGTCGTCGTCATCGTCTTCGTTCGTCGTCGTCGCTCCGTCGTCGTCGTCGTCGTCGTCGTCGTCGTCGTCGTCGCTCCGTTGTCGTCGTCGTCGTCGTCGTCGTCGTCGTCGTCGTCGCCGTCGCCGTCCGCCGTCGTCTTCCGTCGTCTTCCGTCGTCGCTGTCCGCCGTCGTCTCCCCTCATCCCCCGTCGGAGGAGGGCCAGCCGAGACATCGGCGGCCTCTCCTGGCGCTTCTCGCCCCCTGCTTTTAGGGGCCTCCTCCTCCTGCTCCTCCTCCTCCTCCCCCTCCTCCTCCTCCTCCTCCTCCTCCTCCTCCTCCTCCTCCTCCTCCTCCTGCCACCTCCAGCGTGCTCGTCCTCCTTGCCACCTCTGTTTTTAGGGGCCGTTTCCCCGCATCACGGGCCAGGATGGACCCGCGCGAGCCCAGACCTCCGACGTCGCGAGAAGCTCACGACGAGGGTTTTCGATGATTTTCGGCCCCGGGAGGCCCCCGCCGGGCCTCGGGAGAGTCAAAAAACGACTCGGAATGAAACACCGGGCCCAGGGAAGGTCTCCAGACTTCGGGGGGCCGACGTCGTGAGTTTCTCACGACGTCGGGGGTCTGGGAGGGGTCCGGGCGGGAGCGCCGCCGGTGCCCGGGCGGGCGCTCCCCCCCGGGAGCCTGGCGCTGCAGCTTCTCCCAGCGGGCGTTCTCGCCCGGTCTCGGGCCCCGGGGCGGGCCCCGGGGCCTTCACGGATCGATGCGGCTCGAGAGATGATGCAGAGAGGTGTGGGGTCAGTGGGGTCTCTATAGGGCTCTGGTTCACGATGCTGCCATTTTTTCGCAGGGTCCCAAGGTGTCCCAGGATTTCCCCGGAGGCCCCTTTGGCCTTCCGAGCGCTCCCCACAGAGACCACAGGAGGCTCCAAGATGGCGCGAAGATCTGGGGACACCTTGGGCCAGGATCAACTGTGGCACTCCCCGATCCCCTGCCACCCCTCTCGGGTTGGACGGAGGGGGGCATAGCACCGGGAGGGTTTTGCGAATCAGCTCACACGCCCGGTCTTTCTGGCGCCTCTCGACGCCGAGGTCTCCAGGGAAGTGCATAGCTGGCCCGTGCTGCCCACCTCCACGCCGGGCGAGCTCCTGCCAGCGTCGCAGGTCCTGCGCCCCAGCCCGCTTAGCCGGGCTTTGGAGCTCTCGGGGCACCGGCTTCGCCTGGCGCTCGGGATGGACTTCCTCGCGGACGACTTCGCCCCGAGCCCGGACACCAGGAGCCCGCGCTTCAGAGCTGTTGGCCCGATTTTCCACCACCACACCATTGCACTATAGGTAGGATGGGGGAGGAGGCAGGATGGCGAACTCCTCTTCTTCTTCTTCTTCTTCTTCCTCCTCCTCCTCCTCCTCCACCTCCTCCTCCCCCTCCTCCTCCTCCTCCTCCTCCTCCTCCTCCTCCCTCTCCCCCTCCCTCTCCTGCCTATGGTATTTAGTGGTGGTGGTGGTGGTGGTAGTGGTGGTGGTGGTGGTGGTGGTGGTGGTGGTGGAAAATCGGCCCATCAAGAGCTGGGGCCCCGAGGGGTGGTGCCCCTGGGGCAGGAAGGAATCCCAGTTTAGATCTGCACCGTCTGAGCCCCCTCGGCCATCGGGCCCCGCGCCTCAGGGCCACATCCTTGGAAGGACAGGCAGTGGCAAAGTAGCCGTTTTTTGGGACATCCAAGTCCCAATCTGCTTCAAGCGCCTTCCTACTTCAACAATCGATCTGCTTGTGCTGCGTTTTGTTATTCTCTGGGAGGGCCTGAGCCCAATGTACTCGATCTGCTTTCCTGCTTCATGTTTCGGTCTACTTCTTTCGACCGACGCGTAAGGGCATACGCATGAGCATTCGGTTGGATCGACGCTGTGCCCCCCTCCCTGACGCGCGGAGCGCGCCTGGGGCGGCGCCGCAGGCGCCGCCAGGGCTCCAGCGCCGATACGAACAAAATCCGCGCGGACCTCCGAATGCTGATGTTTTGGTATCATTATTGGGGCCTCGAGCCATTGAACCGCCGAAGGAGGGCGTGCAAGCCGTTCGGCCTGGCCCACCTGCTGTGCTACTTGGAGTCCAGCGCGTTCGACCCGTCGGCCCACGGCGAGAGCTGGCGCGACAGGCTGGTGAACGAGCTGCTGCGGGCGCTCGAGGAGGACCGCGCGGAGCTGCCGCTCCCGCTGCAGGACGTGGTCGCCTCCTCCTCCTCCTCTCCTCCTCCTCCTCCTCCTCCTCCTCCTCCTCCTCCTCCTCCTCCTCCTCCTTCTCCTGGGCGGTGCAGGACGTGGTCGCGCGCCTCAGGCGCGTGGGGCTGTTCCGCCTGTGCGGCAGCCCCGAGGCGGACTGGGCGCCAGCGGACGGCGGCGGGGACGCAGGCCGCATCTTCACGCGTTGCAGCACCCCTTGGCGGCCTGCCTGCCTGCGCGTGCTCCGGTGCGAGGGCGATGGCAGCCCCTCGGAGCCCAGCACCGCAGAGGCGAGGCTGCTCGGATGGCTTGGTGGCGGGGGCGATGCTGGGCCACGCGACGTAGCATCCGCAGCCCTGCTCCACAGCGCAGCGCCGTGCCCCACGGACCTCGAGACCCTGCTGTTCCTGAGGGACCACTGGGTGGAGATACTCGAAGGTGGCGGCTCGAAGGAGAACTCCCTCGCGCACCTCTCGGCCGACGACGTGGCGCAGTGCATCTCAGGCGCCGTCTGGCTGCCCGCCAGCGAAGGCCACGCCGCCATGCGGCCCGACGAACTGCTGTTGCCCATGGCCCTCGGCCAGACCCTTTCGGAGGATGTGCCTGGCTCGCGCGGGCCGCGGGTTGCCGTCCCCGTGCCGCGCCCCGGCGAGGGCGTTCGGCAGGATGGTTCGGCCGTCCAGGAGACCTTGAAGTGGGAATTGCTGCTTATCAGGCTTGGTTCGCGCCTGCCGCGGGGCGGCGGCGGCCGCCTGGTGGACCTCTCAAGAGTGCTCGCGGGCGAGGACGATGCCGAGGCTCTGGCTGCGGAAGTCTTGGAGGCCCACCGTGGCTGCGGCAGCGCGGTGGCGCTGAGGGACCACGCCTCGGTGACGTGCCTGCGCGGGGGCGAGGCCAGGCTCACGGTGACCTCGCCGCACGTCTTCGCCGAGGAGGCCTTCGGCGACTTCGCCGACGTGCTGCCGCTGGTGAGGGTGTCCCCGGGGCTGCGCGCCCCCGCGGAGGCGGCGCTGGGCATCCGCTGCTCGCGAGACGCCGCGACGGCTGCCGCGTGCCTCCTCCCGGGCCTGCTGCGACCGTGGCCCGGGCTGCAGCCGCCCAGCCCCGCCGCGTTCGCCCGGGCCTATCAGATCGTGGCCGGCGCGAGCGCGGCAGAGCTCCGGGCCCCCGTGGCGGGCCCGCGGCCGGGGGCCCACGGCGCAGAGCGCACCGTCGTGGCGCACCTGCGGGACGGGCTGTGCCTGCCTGGCCGCGCGGAGCCGCTGCCGGCGGCCTCCTGCGTGTGGCAGAGCCGCTTCGAGGCAGGGCTCGGGTCAAGCGGTGTTCTGGTGGTGTTTCGTGGGCCGTCTTCGTTTTCTGGCTGTTCGGCAGCAGGGAGGCGGAATGAAGACAGAACGACGGAACACGAAGACGACGAAGACGGAAAGCACTGTTTGGCTCGAGCCCTGCTTTGAGGCCTCCGCCAAACTCTCGGGCTGGGTCGTGCTGGAGCCGCTCTTCGGCGAGGACCTGCGGGCCCTCTTCGTGGACAAGCTCGGGGTGGCGCCGCACCTCTCCGCGAGGGACGCCCTGCGCGCGCTGCAGGCGTTCGCCACGGAGGACGGCCAGCGAGGCGGGTGCTACACGACAGGAAGCCTGCCCTGGATCCGCAAAGCCTCCTCGACATACCTGCTGGACCTGGAGCGCGCCCTGGAGCGCGAAAGTCTGGAGAGCATCGCTGCAGAGAAGTGGTCAGTGCCCATTCTCAGTGTGGCGGCGCAGTGGGTCTGGTGTAGTACCGTCGCGCCGCTTGGAGCCCCGGCGGAGTGCGTCTTGGTCGAGGATGCGGGATCGGCTCCTGCCTTGGAGGTCGCCATCGCTGCAGCCAGCAGTGCTCCAGACCCCATCGATGTGAGAGTGATCTCTTCGAACGTACGCAAGGAATGCCCCCTAGTCACGAGATTGCTGAACCTGACGTTGGCTGGCGACGCGCTGCAGTTGTGGCTGTCTTCTTCCGACCCAATCACCCCTGCGAAGAGGTGTTTTCCCAAGGGCTGGCCCAAGGACTCCCTTGTGCTGGCCACCCCCGAGAGCTCGCACAAGCCCTGCGGCCTTGCCGGGGTCACCAGCATCTCTGTCGTGGACGGGCTGAGCCTATCTGTCCGCCTGCCCACAGGAGGCGGCGAGGTAGAGGCGCGCTGGCCTCCGGGTGGGGTGGTGGTGTACGGCCCGTACGACGGCGCAGCCATGCTGATCTGTCGGGGCTGTTTGGGCGCCTGTCAGTTGCAGGCATGCGTGGCGCGGGCTCTCGCGGCCCTGGTGCCACCGGGCGGCCCCCCCGAGGACGCCTGCAGGGAGCTCGTGCGCGCTTGGTGGCCGCAGAAGCTGCGCGACGCCACCGCGACCGCCTTTCCTCTCGAGGTGCCCGCGCAGTCCTTCCTGTCGGACCTGAGCGAACGAGGCGAGAAGCAGGCCCGCCTCCTCCGCTCCCCGCTGGCGATGATGTCCGCGTCCTTCGCGGACGCCGCCGCCGGCTGGGAGCCTCCGCGGGGCCGCGCCTCCCCGGGCACTCGGGGGGACGCCTCGGCGGCCTCGGCGGACCCGGGCAGCCCCCAGGCCGGCGGCCCAGCCCCGGCCGGCCGGGGCAGCGGCTCCTGGCCCGCTGGCCCGCCCCCAGGCGGGCCCGACGCCGCGGAGCCCGACGGGCCAGGCGGCGGCCGCGGCGCGGGCGGCGTGCCATGGACACTGGGCGGCAGCACGGCGGGCCCCGGCGCCACCTGGCCCGAGGGGCCCAGCGCGGGCCGGAGCGGCCAGGATGCAAGGGAAGGCGAGCCCGGCGGCGGCTTGGCGGGCCTGTGGGGGGGCCGGGGCGAGGCTTGCGGGCGCGGCGGTGTTGCAGCCGCTGGCTCTCAGCGGGAGGAGAACGGTGTGTATAGATACGTACATGCATACAAACATACGTACGTATGTACATACATCCATAATACATACCCACACCCAACTATACATATATACATGCATACGTACGTACATGCATACAGACATGCATACATACATACATACGTACACACATACAAGCATACGTACATACATACATGCACACATACATACGTACGGATATGCATACATACATGCGTACATACATACATACATACATACATACATACATACATACATACATACATACATACATACATGCATACATACATACGCACACATACATACATACATACATACATACATACACACAGACAGACATACATACATACATACATACATACATACATATGTACATTCGCACATACAGACGTGCAAGCGTACACACACATATATACATAGATGTATATATGCATGCAAATAAACACAAATGTGTATATATGTATATATACATGTATATATATGTACATACATACATACATACGCACACACATGCATACATACGAACACATGCAATACAACCATACAAACCCACATCCGTACATACATACATACAACCATACATACGTACATACATACGTACATAAACATGTACATATATACGTACACACATACATATGTGCATGCAAACATGCATACATGCAAACAGCGATACACACATACATACATACACACATACATACACACGTCCATGCGTACATATCTACATACGTTCACACACATACGCACGCACATACCCATACACATACATACGTGCGAGAGAGCGCGCCCGCAGGGCCCGAGCAAAGGGGAGGGGGGGCTAGGCGTAAGATACCCCCCCTTCCCTTGAGCCGCCCTTGTTGGAAGCACCCCCCCCCTCCCCCCCTTTTTTTGGCAAGGGGGGGGGGGCTTACAGCACCCCCCCCCCTCCCCCCTTGGGCCCTCCCCGGAAGCTACCCCCCCCTCCCCCCCTTTCCAAGGGGGGGGGGTGCTTAAGCTACCCCCCCTCCTTGGCGCCGCCCTGCTGGAAGCTACCCCCCCCTCCCCCTTTCGTGCAAAGGGGGGGGGGGTGCTTGGAAGCTACCCACCTCCCCCCCCCTTTGGCCGCCCCGGAAGCTACCCCCCTCCTTACCCCCCTTTCCAAAGGGAGGGGGGTGCTTAAGCTACCCCCCCCTCCCTTGGAGCCGCCCTGCTGGAAGCTCCCCCCCCCTCCCCCCCTTTGTGCCAAAGGGGGGGGGGGCTTGGAAGCCCCCCCCCCCTTCCCCCTTTGGCCGCCCAGCCCCCGGAGCCTCCGCCCTCCCTTTCGCCGACGATCCAAAATGAACAATCCACGATCGAGGATGGACGATCGACGATCAACGATCGACGATCGAAAATCCCAATCGAATCGCTTGCAATCGATTGCACTCCATTCCACTGCAATCCCCCTCCCCACCTCCCTCCGCTCCCTCCCCTCCCTCCACACCCTTCGTTCCATCTCCTCCCTCCCCTCCCTCTCCTCCCCTCCCTCCCTTCCGTCCTGTCCCTCCCCTGCAATCCAATCGATTGAATCGATTGCAATTCAACCGATTGCAATCCAATCGATTGCAATCCAATGGATTGCAATCGAATCGTTCGCAATCCAATGGATTGCAATCGATTGCAACGCAAGTGTATCATTCAACTCGTCCCGTGCCAACGCCCGGGAACGAAAAATTACCCTTGCGACGTACCCAACCCCTGCGCAAACGCGGGGCGCAAATAGTTTAGGACACTTTATAAGGGGGGCGATGACGGAGCGAGGGTTACATATGTCTGCAAACGGAATTCGGGAGACTCGCAGGAAACTGGCTTCAGGACAAGGACTAGATAAAGCTGATTAGTTGCAATCCCTGAGCAACCCTAGCCACTTCGAAAGCGGGGATCTCAGATCGCAGCCCCCCAGGGATGGCGAGGTCTAATTTGGGTCCGCGCGTGGCGTCACTGTGCTGGGCCCCCCAGCAGGCCTCGAAAGTGGCGACAGTTTCACAGATCGCAGCCCCCCAGGGATGGCGAGGTCTAATTTGGGTCCGCCGTGGCGTCACTGTGCTGGGCCCCCCAGCAGGCCTCGAAAGTGGCGACAGTTTCACAGATCGCAGCCCCCCAGGGATGGCGAGGTCTAATTTGGGTCCGCCCGTGGCGTCACTGTGCTGGGCCCCCCAGCAGGCCTCGAAAGTGGCGACAGTTTCACAGATCGCAGCCCCCCAGGGATGGCGAGGTCTAATTTGGGTCCGCCCGTGGCGTCACTGTGCTGGGCCCCCCAGCAGGCCTCGAAAGTGGCGACAGTTTCACAGATCGCAGCCCCCCAGGGATGGCGAGGTCTAATTTGAATCCGCCCGTGGCGTCACTGTGCTGGGCCCCCCAGCAGGCCTCGAAAGTGGCGACAGTTTCACAGATCGCAGCCCCCCAGGGATGGCGAGGTCTAATTTGGGTCCGCCCGTGGCGTCACTGTGCTGGGCCCCCCAGCAAGCCTCGAAAGTGGCGACAGTTTCACAGATCGCAGCCCCCCGCAAGCAAGACAGGAGGAGGCAAGAGGGAGACGTGACGGGAAGGAGGAAGTGGAGACCACACTGCCCTATTCAAAACGAATACCCAACCAAGGAGGGTTGGGAAAAATACTATCCCCCCGAAAGTTGCACGAAGTGTAATTCGGAAGACGCCAGCCCGTCGGGTTTGGCAGTGTTCGTGTAAGACGGCGGCCAGCTGGGGGAGGAGGAGGCGGAGGATGGGGGAGGCGGAGGGGGAGGAGGAGGGGGAGGAGGAGGAGGAGGAGGAGGAGGAGGAGGAGGAGGACGGACCCAGATAGAAGAGCGCGCCGAGTTCGGGTGACGGTCGTGGTGGGGCGGTGGTGGAAAAGAATTGAATTGAGGAAGGAGGAGGAGAGGAGGAGGAGGAGGAGAGGGAGGAGGTGGAGGAGGAGGAGGAGGAAGGAGGAGGATGGGGAGGCGGAGGAGGAGGATCACGAGGAGGAGGAGGAGGAGGAGGAGGAGGAAGAGGATGATGATGATGATGATGATTGATGATGATGATGTGATGATGATGATGATGATGGTATGATGAGGAGGAGGTGGAGGAGGAGGCGGAGGGAGGAGGAGGTATAGGGAAACATGGAGGAGGAGGAGGAGGAGAAAACCGAGGAGGAGGAGGAGGAACGGAACGGAAGGGCCCCTCGGGGGAGTACGATGATGATGATGATGATGATGATGATGATGATGATGATGATGATGATGACGATGATGATGATGATGGTTGATGGTGATGGTGATGGATGAGGGATGAGGATTGAGGAGGATGAGGAGGATGACTATGAGGAGGATGAGGGGGACGAGGAAGAGGAGGAGGCAAAAGGAAGAAGAGGAGGAGGGAGAGGGGCGGGAATAAATGGAGGCGAAAGGGAGGGCGATGGCTCCGGGAGCTGGGCGGCCAAAGGGGGGAAGGGAGGGGGGGGCTTCAAGCCCCCCCCTCCTTTTGCACCAAGGGAGGGAGGGGGGGGGGCTTCCAAAGCCCCCCCCTTTTCAAAGGGGGGGTGGCTCACCCCAGCTCCATTAAAAGGAGGGAGGGGGGGGGGTAGCTTGGAAGCCCCCCCCCCCTTTCCGGCCAGGAAAGGGGAGGGGGGGGGGGGTAGCTTCCGAAGCCCCCGCCCTTTCAAAGGGGGGGGGTGGCTCACCCCGGCTCAACTAGAGGGAGGGAGGGGGGGGTAGCTTGGAAGCCCCCCCCCCCATTCCGAACCACGAAAAGGGGGGGATGGGTGGGGGGGGGGAGCTTCCGAAGCCCCCTCCCCCCCCCTTTAGCAAGGAAGGGGGGAGGGGGGTAGCTTCAAGCTGTGGCCCCCCTTTTAGTCTATCGGGCCCCACGCGCGCGCTCTATCATACGTGCGTACATACATAGGCACATACATAGAAACTTACGTACACACATGCATACATACGTACGTACATACACGCACACATACAGACGTACATACATACAAACAGGCATACATACATGCGTACGTGCATGCTTCTATACATACATCCAACCAGGCATACGTACATACTTACATACGCATCTACATATATACATACATGCGAACATATTTACGCGCATGCATACACACGCGCAAACTTACATACGTCCATACGTACATTCGTATATACATACATACATACATGCAGCCATAAGTATACGTGCATGCACACACAAATGCACACATACATACGTACATACATGCAAGCATACAGGCGTACAAACATAAGTACATGCGAACGTACATACATGCATATACACGTACCTACACACATATACGTACACGCAAACATACTCACATGCATTCACACATACACTCATGAATACGTACGTCCATACGTACATACAAACAAAGAAGCGTACGTACCCATACATGTATACAGGCATGCATACGCACATACATACATATGCACACACAAACATGCATACGTACAAACATACATACGTACATGCATACATACACACATACTCACGTACGTACATACGTACATACATACGTACAGCCGTTCGTACATACATACGTACGTACATCCATACATACGTACACACACCCATACGTACAAGCACACATACATGCATACATATATACATATGATACTGAAAGGAACCCTAATCAGGGCTATAGGGCTAGGGGGCTATTGGGCTATAGGGCTATAGAGCTATAGGGCTATAGAATTGTAGGGCTATTGGGCTATTGGGCTATAAGGCTACAGGGCTATAGGGCACCCCTGGGCACCCCCGGGCACGCCCGGGCACCCGGGCACCCGGGCACCTGAGCACCCGGGCACCCCCTGGCACCCGGGCGTGCGGCGAAAATCGTCGGCAAACCTAACCTAACCATATGAATCCGCTAGGACACCTACAGAGGCAAGCTCTGATTGGGGAACATCTTTACTTGCATACGTACATACATACACACATACATACATGCGTACACAGACATACATACGTACATACATACATACACACAGGCGGACAGACATCTATATATATATATATATACATATATATGTATATATACATATATATACACACACGTAACTACATACATACACACATACATACATGCATACATACATACCTACATACAATAATTATAGCCGGAGTGCAGTATCCCCAAACAGGGTTTTTAGACCCACTGCGGTTTCCAAGGTCGATTGCGTGCCCGTCCAGTGCGGGCTGGCATGGTATGTTAAAACATGCCTCCTCCTCCTCCTCCTCCTCCTCCTGCTCCGCCTCCTCCTCCTCCTCCTCCTCCTCCTCCACCTCCTCTTCATCCCGAACGGCATCTCGGAGCCCAGAGTTGCGAGGATGTCTCCAGCGTAACGGGCTGGACCACCTCGCGCGCGGCATTTCGGACCCCAGAGTTGCGACGATGTCTCGGGCGAAACGTGCTGCGAGGAAGTCTCAGGCGAAACGGGCCGGACCACCTCGAGCGCGGCGTCTCAGAGCTCCGAGTTGCGGGGGCCTCCTGGGGCCTCCTGGGGCCTCCTGGGGACCTCCTGGGGCTTCTCCCTGGGTCTCCTGTGGCCTCCTGGACCCCACCTGGGGCTTCCTGAAGCCTCTTGGGGCTCCCGGGGGGGGATATCTAACATGTGGCCGTCGGGGTCACCCAAAATGGAGGGGGGGGGGGGGCACAAGAGCAGGAAACATCAACGAATCGACACCGGATGTGTATTAACTTGACACGTTCTGATAGGGGGCCTCCTGGGGCCTCCTGGGAGCCTCCTGGGAATCTCCTGCGGATCCTGGGGCCTGTCCTGGGCGTCCTGCAGCCTCCTGAAGCTCTCTGGGGCCTCCTGGGAGCCACATGTGGTCTTCTGGGCCCCCAGGCTGGACCACCTCTTGCGCAGCATCTGAGAGCTCAGAGTTGCGAGAATGTCTTGTGCGAAACGGGCCGGACCACCTTGCGCACGGCATCTCAGAGCTCAGAGTTACGAGGATGTCTCAGGCGAGATGGGCCGGACCACCTCGCGCAGGTCATCTCGGAGCCCAGGGTTGCGAGGATGTCTCCAGCGTGACGGGCTGGACCACCTCGAGCGCGGAGTCTCAGAGCTCCGAGTTGCGGGGGCCTCCTGGGGCCTCCTGGGGCCTCCTGGTGACCTCCTGGGGCTTCTCCCTGGGCCTCCTGTGGCCTCCTGGACCCCACCTGGGGCTTCCTGAAGCCTCTTGGGGCTCCCTGGAGGGATATCTAACCTGTGACCGCTTGGGCCTCTCAAAATGGAGGGGGGGGCATAAGAGCAGGAGACATCAACGAATCGACACCGGATGTGTATTAACTTGACACGTTCTGATAGGGGGCCTCCTGGGGCCTCCTGGGAGCCTCCTGGGAATCTCCTGCGGACCCCTGGGGCCTGTCCTGGGCGTCCTGCGGCTTCCTGAAGCTCTCTGGGGCCTCCTGGGGCTCCCAGGGTCCCAGGGAGGATATGTAACATGTGGTCTTCTGGGCCCCCAGGCTGGACCACCTCTTGCGCGGCATCTGGGAGCTCAGAGTTGCGAGAATGTCTTGTGCGAAACGGGCTGGACCAACTTGCGCACGGCATCTCAGAGCTCAGAGTTGCAAGGATGTCTCAGGCGAGACGGGCCGGTGTCTCGGGCGAAACGCGCTGCGAGGAAGTCTCAGGCGAAACGGGCCGGACTACCTCGAGCGCGGCGTCTCAGAGCTCCGAGTTGCGGGGGCCTCCTGGGGCCTCCTGGGGCCTCCTGGTGACCTCCTGGGGCTTCCTCCTGGGCCTCCTGAGGCCTCCTGAACTCCACCTGGGGTTTCTGAAGCCTCTTGGGGCTCCCAGGAGGGATATCTAACCTGTGACCGCTTGGGCCTCTCAAAATGGAGGGGGGGGCATAAGAGCAGGAGACATCAACGAATCGACACCGGATGTGTATTAACTTGACACGTTCTGATAGGGGGCCTCCTGGGGCCTCCTGGGAGCCTCCTGGGAATCTCCTGGGGACCCCTGGGGCCTGTCCTGGGCGTCCTGCGGCCTCCTGGAGCTCTCTGGGGCCTCCTGGGGCTCCCAGGGTCCCAGGGAGGATATGTAACATGTGGTCTTCTGGGCCCCCAGGCTGGACCACCTCTTGCGCGGCATCTGGGAGCTCAGAGTTGCGAGAATATCTTGTGCGAAACAGGCCGGACCACCTTGCGCACGGCATCTCAGAGCTCAGAGTTGCGAGGATGTCTCAGGCGAGATGGGCCGGACCACCTCGCGCAGGGCATCTCGGAGCCCAGAGTTCGAGGATGTCTCAGGCGGGCTCCCAGGGTCCCAGGGAGGATATGTAACATGTGGTCTTCTGGGCCCCCAGGCTGGACCACCTCTTGCGCGGCATCTGGGATCTTGTGCGAAACGGGCCGGACCACCTTGCGCACGGCATCTCAGAGCTCAGAGTTGCGAGGATGTCTCAGGCGAGACGGGCCGACCACCTCGCGCAGTGCATCTCAGAGTTCAGAAGTTCGAGGATGTCTCAGGCGAAACGGGCCGGACCACCTCTCGCGCGGCATCTCCGAGGTCAGAGTTTCGAGGATGTCTCAGGCGAAACGGGCCGGACCACCTCGCGCAGGGCATCTCAGAGCTCAGAGTTTCGAGGATGTCTCAGGCGAAACGGCCCCGACCACCTCTCGCACGGCACCTCGGGGCTCAGAGTTTCGAGGATGTCTCAAGCGAAACGGCCCGGACCACCTCTCGCGCGGC